TCAATCAATCACGAGTTTTTCCTATAAAACACTAAATAAAACAAATTAGGTAGTATTTCATCCAATGAATTATAAAATTTCGTTATTTAGGATCCCAAGTAAGTATATAAAATACACTTATCGGTTCACGGCTAGCAGATGGGCGCTGAAATATCCTCTCATTTCATATCAAATATACTTCCTTTTTGAATTCCTACATGAAACTTTAATTATATTCTTTAAAGTTCATCTTTAATTTATTCATGAAGAACATTAAGTATTAGGGTCTGGACAAGGCTGAAAAATATACTGCTATTTTGCAGGGAGAGATAACAAAAATACTTCTTTTTTGTAGTCATATTTCATGTTTATTGATCATTATGAGTTATCAATGTAGCCCATAGAGACAAAATTTCAAAACCTTTGTGGCCATTTAAGGTTTGGAATTAAGGTCGACATTACATTTATTTGGTTTATAGTTCTTTTAAAAATAGTATATTTAGTGTTTCAATGTACAACTTGCTTAGGATAGTATAAATACACCGCTGGTAGCTAAACTTTAAGCAAATTTTCATATTAAACTTCTAGTAATTTAATTTCATATTGATTACTAATTTTTTTGGGTTCAATTGTTCATTTCCATTAGATGGAGACCAACACAAACAATATCCTCATGAAGAAGTTATGATAAAACGAGAAGACTTCGTCACTATCGCTTGAGATAATTATTCAGGTGAATTAATTCTAATATTTGTAATAATACAACGAGTAGGTAACACCCAAGAAAATCTTCTATAAAGAAAGAAAGGAAAAAAAAAAAAAATGAAACCAAAAAGCGTAGAAGAAGCTTGAGCAAATAATCAAATCAATCATAGGCTTATCTTGGATTCCTTATTTGACGGATTGATTTATGATACGACGTGGGTCCATATAATCTTCTATTATGTAGACCACCATAAATCAATTTCGAGAAATGCTACAGGAACAGGCTCAAATCCATGTTTAAATTCAGGGAGGACACGTGTCGGTATTAGATTGGACAATAACACTCAATTATTTCCCTACACATCACCCCGTCTCCTTGTTTCCTGTTTTTGGGCCAGGATGAGTGGCTTTTTCCATCAAATGTCTGGAGCAGCCCTAGATCATTGGCTCGTCTACAGGACTCGACAATATTTTTGAGTGGAAATTACATGGATCCCTACTTTTCAAGATCCAAGTTCAAAAATCAGATGTCAAGTTTTAATGTTCAAAAATCAGATATTTTATATATAGATACAAGTTTTTTAAAATTAAATATAAAAAATATTATTATAAAAATTAAATTATATACACCCTACCCCCACCCCAATGTAATTTTCAAACCCTAATTAACACTCTTTCTCGCCGTCTCTCAATACGCTCTCTCTCTCGTCGTCTCTCACTCTGATCCTCTCCTTACCGGCGGCGACTGTACAGATCCAAACGGCGCCTCTCACTCTTCTCTCTCTCGTCGCTGCAAGAGCACACTGTGTGCAGTTTTTTTCGACCCACCCGCCTGAAGAACCAGACCCCTGCCCAGATTCAAATCACCGCGGAATCGGAGGTAGCGAAAGATCCTCCCCCTCCCTCCCGTCTGCACCCTAATCCACAGCAGCGTCGCGAGTGCCGGCGTCGCGACGATGCTGCTGTGAATCACAGATTCAGATCTATAAAACAAAACATGAGTTTTCCATTCCCCTCATAACCTTTCCTTCTCAGATCTGGAATCAGGATTCGGATTGTGGTTGTTGGCTGCTCGATGGAAGCAATCCGGGTGGTGTTTGCAGTTAGCTCGAAATTGGAGAAAGTGATCTGTAATTTCTGGGCATTGTAGGCGTGCGGCGGCGATTCCCTTCACTGGTTTTGTGTGGTAGAGATCACTAGGTGGCGACGACTGTAGTGTTTTTTTTATCGCTAATGGTTTGCCAGGTTGTGTGGTGGATCTGTCGATTGGGATGGGTTTGGATGGTGTTTTGTGTGGTGGTGGTGGATCGGCGGTTTGGGATAATTGCGTGGAAATTTTTCGGTTCATTTTTTTTTTTTTTT